ATTTGTCTATTTAAATCATAGTTAATTCTAGTTTGTTTCAAGTGTTTCAAAACACCAAAACCCCCCATTTTATATTTATTGTCATTCTACAAGTATTTTTACAAAGAGATTTTTTCATAGAGTTATAAATTGAACCAATCTCCGTGGATTCGATCCCTTTACCACTATACACTATTTTAGTGTGTAATATTTAGGGTTATTATTTGTGTTGGCCTCGACAACCACCACCTACTTACACTAGGTGAGTTCATACCCCGGAATGAACCTTTTAATGTTTTTACATGTTTTATAGGGGGGATACAAGTTAAACATGCCAGTTATCATATCAATCATCTGTGATTGATAACCCGCATGCACAAGATTTTTCCATACTGTACACTGTTTTACCGAGTAGGACACTATGATGGTTTCAAAAAGGTTTTCATTTGTTCCAAAACTCTTACTTATACTGTTTTATCTAAATTCATTTTAAACTGATTCATAAAGGTTCCAAGGATTTATAAAGTTTTCAAACTAATTTTACCAAAGAATACCAAATGTGATTTTCCCTGAGTATAAAGGTTTTTCCAAGGTTTTCATCGAAGTTCCCTTTTACGACGTATACTTTTACTTGTTTGTTACTGCTGCTTCGCTTTACTTATTTAAAACTCCTACTTGATAACGCATTTCCTTCGGGATACGCTTATACCGGTTATTGTCTCTATATTGCATATACTTGTAGCCACTTATACTTGATAGACGCTTTTACTTCACCAGTTGTCGTTTCCACTTCGTGATACACTTATACTTGGTACACTTATACTTCACGATTCGATTATCCCACACTGTACGCTTATACTTCACGACTCGGTTATTCCACTGTACACTTATACTTCACAACTCGGTTATTCCACTTTACGCTTATACTTCACAAGTCGGTTATTCCACACTGTACACTTATACTTCACGATATGATTCCACTTGATACACACTCAAGCGTAGTTAGATGTATGCATGTGCTTGTATAGGTACATATAAATAATGATTGAAGGACTTAGGAAGGCTCGTCCGCCCTATTTCCTTTTCTTCGTTGAGATGTGGTCTGGTGGGATCGGATGGCCATCCGAAGGTCATTTGATTCATTAGTTATATATTATGTACACAAGCATAGACATATGGGTTTACTTTAGTCAGTTCAGTTATGAGTCTCTACCTCTAGTTCAACACTTACATTAGAAACACACTACCCACTAATTGGAAGTCTCTACCCACTATTTGGGATGCATCTTCAGGACACGGCCTTCTCCGTCGTCTAGTTGGTAACCAGAGTCTCTTGTAGGGAGAGCGGACATTGTGTGTATAGATCTATACGGGATTGACACCCCCACACCCTGACTGCTAGCTACAGTCCACGACCCACCAAGCCAAGGGGTGACAAATGTCATATTTATAGACGCTTGTAGGGCGTCTGGAACTCTAGTCAGTATGGTTACGAGTATCCCAGGTTGCCTTATAATTCATGGCCTTAAGGTAACGGTATTTCACCGGCAATTTACACTGTATGCTGGTAACTCATTTTCAGAGTCACACTGTTTTGACCTTGCAAGATGTATCTTTCATTTGATACTATCTGCGGTCTGTATTCTCTGTTTTGACCTTGCAAGATGTATCATTCATTTGATACTGTCTGCGGTCTGTATTCTCTGTTTTGACCTTGCAAGATGTATCTTTCATTTGATACTGTTTGCGGTCTGTATTCTCTGTTTTGACCTTGCAAGATGTATCTTTCATTTGATATTGTCCGTGGTCTGTATTCACTGTTTTAGACCTTACCAGCTGTACCTTTCATTTGGTACCTTTTGGGGTCTGTGTCTCCATTTGTTAGACGGAACCAGGCGTGTCGTTCGTTCGATACTCTCCTAGAGTCTATGATTCCTTTGCCTTAGTCAGCAGTCCTCACTGCTGAGGCATATGTTATTTCCCTGACTTCTCTTGCTTCCTTTAATAATCAAATTCAGTATTTTGATAATGATAACGATTAAGGGAAAACTACTTTTTACAACATAACTCCGTCCAGTCTTGGTAGAAGGCTGCTTTTATTAAAGAAAATATAGGATTTTCTGGAAAGAACTCTAATACATTGTAAACTCTTAAACTACTACATTATAGAGTTATTTGAATAAAATGTCACTAATTACTTATGAACTCACCAGCATTTGTAAAAATGCTGATACTCGCTTTTCAAATAACTTGTATTCTCAGGTTAGCATTAGACAGATACATCCCCAGAGCTGTTGATGAAGATAGCTTAGTACCATGCTGTTCTTATTAAATTTGTTTGTATTAATTTGATACCCTGTTATGTAAACTATGTAAAACTATTACTATTAATGCAATGTTTTGTTGTACTTTGATTACTATAATGCATGTGTTGTGATACTTGATATGACGTCATCCACCCCAGAATGTTCCGACGTTCTGGTTTTGGGGTGTGACAATTTTGGGTGAGATTGGTGATTTTAAGGTTTTTACACCTTCTAATGGCTTGTGAGTATAGGGGCCCTTTGTGTGAGAGATCCCAGATCTGGACCCGTAGAGGTCCATAAGGCCTTATTTTGTATGCTTTATGTTGATTCTTTGAGAGAATGAGACTTTGATGCCATTCTTGGAGCCATTTCTCCAAGGAAAGCCTTGTGAGCTTTACATGTATGTTAAGCCTCGACCTTTTCATGGTTATTGGTCATAAGGAAGCCATATCTATGGATTAGAGGAACAGATATGACCTCAGAATGTCAAATGAGTTTGGTCATGGGAGCAACTCGCCGAGTCCATGGGGGGACTCGATGATTCGAGTCAGGGTTGCCCCGCGATTCATACCAGGTGTAACTCGTCGAGCAAAGGGTTGGCTCGACGTGTCAAGAGAGGCTAGAAGGAGGAGTCCGTGGACACGTGTGGACTCACCGAGTCGCCCATATGCATTCGACGATTTGGGTCAAAGTTTGACCATTGACTTTCGTTGACTTTAGAGTTTTGGTCAAGACTGGCTTAAGAGAGTTCAGGGAAGGGTAGAATGGTATTCTACCCAATCTTTAGAGTTGAGACAATAAAAGAGTGTTGATCAAGGATGGTATTTGAATAATAGGAGGAGGCCAGTTTGGGACGTTGAGCACGAGAGTTCATCCGACTTCGTTTGAGGTGAGTCTTCTCACTATACTTTACCTAGAGTGGTAACAGAGTTATGTGACAGAGTTATTATATGCTATTTATGCGATGCGTGGCACTGCATTATTTCTATGTGATTTATGCTGTGTGTATATCAGATTTAGGACTGGAAGGTCCACAGAGCTAGGACCAGAGGGTCCACAGAGTTAGGTTTAGAGTTATGTGCCAGTGTATTTGTATGCTATTTATTTTTTGAGATTTATTGTGATACGTGATATGCATGATTCAGAGTTATCAGAGTTAGGACCTCTGGGTCCATAGAGTTAGGGCCCAAGGGCCCACAGAGTTATAGCCTTGAGTGACTAATATGTGTTAGAGTGGTATTTTGGGGAACTCACTAAGCTTCGTGCTTACAGTGTTTGTGATGTGTTTCAGGTTTTCTCAGGATCACGGGACGGCACCGGCTCGATTGTACACACCAGAAGAAGCGATGTTTTTGAGGATCCTGTTCTATTAATTGATTGAACAAAAGAGTCATGTATTGTAATTTAAACAAAAGGGAGATTTTTATGAAAAGTGTTAAAGAGATAAACGATTTTAAATGAAAATTTTGTTTTAAAATTTTCAGTGTTACAGAGGAGATGAGAAAAAGATGCACAACCATGACGAGGTAGTCACGGCGGAGCACTCGACCAAAAATAAAGCGGAGGCTGAGAAAAAGGAGTATGGTCAAACTCCGCTCATGATAACCATACTCCAGGTACCGACGTGAAGATCGGGCCAGTGCCCTGATACTTGGACAGTTAGAGTCTATTGTTTCATGTCTTTCCTTTTTTTAAGAGTTAATATAATTTTCATCTTGAAAGAGCTTTCCAGAATTATGTTTAACCAGTTGCAAAAACACAAAGTAGAGGGGTTGTGCATATTTTCCATGTAGCGAAGAACAGTTGATCACCTACGCTACTAGAGCAAAATCTATGCAAGGATGCAACCATAGGTCTTAAAGAATCATAATATTTACCTAAAATTTGCAAATAACATCTCAGAGCTGAGAATGTATAAATCTTAAATTAATGGCATAAAGAAAGGGGTTCTAAAAAGATTGATAACTTTTCCTCTAAAAATTAGACAGTAAAAGGCCTTGAGGTGACGGTCTCGGCCAACATACAGGTAGCTAAACCTCAAAATATAGTCAAGAACATTGACCAATATTTCATGACTTAACATAAAAAGCCCGATTAATCATACAAGTCAGTGAAATATCAGTCAATGGTAGTGGTTATACGACGTCTGAAATGCACATTAACCGATCAACACGAACCCTAAAACAAGGGAGTGTGCATAAAAGAATTACAGTAGAGAATTTTGAATAACCCTAGTCTAAAGATATCACAGGTCAATTCAAGATATATAAAAAGAAAAAAGAGCATTTCCATACCAAGTACAAAGCAAAATACAAAATTCTTGGTCATTAACAACCAATATTTTTCACTACACATATAATACAGGGGAATGCAAATACATTACAAAATGAACAGATGGGACAAGCAAAAATCAGTCCTCATAGTCTGAGGAAGAGCTTCCAGGACCCGACCTACGACAAAACTGGCGGCAGCTGTCATAATCCAGCTCCCCCAGACGAAAGTGGTCCGCAAAATCCGTCTCAGCAAGGGACGAAAGAGCAATATCCACCTCTTCGGTTCTTATCGCCACACGGCCAGGGTTCGGGGCTTCAGGTTCACCAGAAATTGTCGAATGGCCAACTAACTGTTTCCCTTTTTCAAGCCCAAGGTCCTCACATACCTTTTAAACACCTTGGATCATACTGGCAAATTCCGCACTCTCGATAACCTTATCAATTACTCGAACCACGCCCTTTTCCAACATCCATTGAAAATTGCCTCGAGCAACAACATCATCCGTTGACGTTGGCACATGGCCAACTCACTCGCTAAAACACCTTTCTCTTGAGTAAGCGAACTCATTTGACTTTCGAGTTGCTCCGTTTGGCCTTCCAAAGTAGCCACATGATCCTCCAAAGCAGCCTTCTCATAGGCCACGATGCAATTTTTCTCGGACAGCACTCGAAGCTCTGCCTCTGAATCACGGAGTTCCTCCCTCAAGCCTGCAATGGCATCTTGCGAAGTTTTTAATTGTGCCTCATTTATGCCAGAGCGGAAAACCCGGTCAACGGCAGCAACCATAAGGGCAGAAGCCTGAGCAGCGACATATCAAAGGTCACCAGCCATACGAGTGCCTGACTGGCCCGCATGCAACTCCATTGTGGCCGGTAGATGAGCACAACTACTCCACTCATGGGCGGCAATGTCTTCTGACAATAAGGAATCCTTAGTAACCGCCAAGCCTGGAGCGTAAGCCTCGAAATCCAAGGGGTGAGACACATCTCTCAGTTCATCAACCATGGAAGGTTGTCTGCTGGGGAAGAATCTTTTGACCCACCTAGTGCACCCCCAAGCACCGAGCTAGAACCAGGATCAACTAAGAGCAAGCCAATAAACGATGAAGGTGATGCCTTTGAAGAACTAGGCACCACCACTATATCTTTCTGCCCAGGCACAACAAATTTATCGCCAAGAACATCCCCAATACCTCCAAGAAGATTGGGCAGAAACACCATCTTGCGCATCTTACAAGGACGGAGGCCCGCATCATCAGATTCAGTCTCTTCGTCCGATGATAGCACCACGTGAAAACTTCGTTTTTACCGAACAGGGGTATTACTTTTTTTTGCTTGCACCCCCACAGACAAATCAGAAGAAGCAGAAGCCGAAAAACAAATTGGGGAAATGATGTGTGTAAATTCAACTAGTTTTATCCCTACTTTTTATTAATAATTTGAGCACACAAAGGCAGTGAACCTGTCTTTAAGTGGTATAGATTGATAAGTGAGGTATCGAACTCAGGGAACGGGAAATTAAACTAATAGCTAATTTTAACTAAAACAAATAATAAAAGTTTAAGGGTTTTCTCTAGTTTTGCAAGACTAGAAACTTAGACAAACTAAATTAACTAATTAACTAAAGCAACAACTATTTACCAAATTTGATAAAGATGTTTCTATTTAGGTTCAACCAATTCACTCCTATGGTTATTTAAGTTAAGGTGGATTAATTGCTATTGGTTACCAATTATAATAGTTAGGTTCATATTCATTACTCCTAACCCTTAGACAATTAGCTAATTTAAGCGTTGATCAAGTGTTTAGACTAATTAATTCTCTAGATTAATTATTTGGATTAAATAAGATTTGTAATGGTTAATTAAGTTATTAATTCAATTAACCTCTTGTTGATGGTTTCTCAAACAAGCTCACACATTAATCTTCCTATTTTCTTATTAATCTTAGTTTCATAATCATTACTTCTAAGCATATGGTTTAGCATTCACATAGACATATGAGGTTAACAATTAAGTGATGTTCATGCAACCTAATTGCCTTCCAATTAACAGAAAATAGTAGTGATTAATACATAAGGTTCTTTAACAAACTTAATTTAATAAATCACCAATAGACAATTAAGCAAAAATTAATAATTAAACCATAGGAGTTCTTTGGTATTCCCCAAACAGAAACAAAAACGAATTTAGCTCATAATTGCAGTAGAAACAAACATAAAAACAAAGTTTACTAAAGCAAACATGTTCAATTCCTAAGTCTAAGTGGTAGAATTAACCTAATTGCTTGAATTCTTCCAACTCTTGAAGCTTAGGGTTCCTTAGCGCCTTATGAAACTTTTAGTCGCAGCTAATCCTTCAAAAATCGCCAGGGGTTCCTTCCCATGAGATAAGGATTCGTCTTTTATAGATATCCCAAAACAGGGTGTACTCGGCGAGTAGCAGAATCAACTCGCCGAGTAGGTCCATACTTATCCGTCTTGAATCAGCAGTCGTATTTATCTTCTAGCATATCCTCGTGTACTCGCCGAGTAGGGTCGATCTACTCGCCGAGTAGAACTCCTTCTTTCACTCTTTAATCTTCAATTGCTTTCCTTTTCTCCTTTTTGCTTCCAAGCATATCTTTTGGACTGAAAACACAATTCACAACATTTTAAGTACCTTTTGTCCACATTATTCACATAATTAATCAAAAATAACTAAGAATATATGTTAAATAATTAACTAATTATGCACATATCAAAATACCCCACACTTGACTTTTGCTTGCCCCCAAGCAAAACTAAATTTTAAACATATTAAAATCACATTAATAACTCCAATCCAACCCAGCCATTATGCCAAGACCGCAACGCATGCATTTGTGTCTAAAATTTCCTAAAAACCCCCATACTTCAAATACTCACAATCCTCATAAACATTCGCCCACTCACCCCGAACTATGCTCATTTTATGCAACCCTCCGAATCCATCCTCAGAAAATCTCTTTACCCTCAAGGTATTTTTAATTGAGCAACCCAAGCATACATATTCTAGAATTACAACTTTTCGATACCACTATGGAATTCTTTGAATTCTTCACTTTCTTGATAATTTGATCTTTGATATCTTCGAATTCACCAACTTGTATTGACTTTTGGTATCTTCAACTTTTTGGATTTCTTGGAATTTTGATCTTTAGATCTTCACTTCATTTGCTCCAAAATTCCTATAACTTTTTCTAGTAATTTTTTTTTTCATGTATTTCTCAATATATATAAATTTTTTTTTCACTCAAATCCCTACATGCTTAAGCAGGGGCGCTCAATCTCAACCTTTATTGGCTAATGATAAAAACTTTCCTGGATACATTTCAGGTTTAGGCTGCTAAACATATTGCATCCCTCAGGCTGAGCAAGGTTGTGTTTTTTTCTCATGATTTCACTGAAATAAGGAAGCCACAAATGCACTAGAACGTATATAGGCTCAACTAAACATTTGGGTTTTCATGCAATTATTAACACAATTCTAATATGGAATCCTAATTTTTTACCAAAATTTTCTAATTTAAGACCTAAGCATTTTTGGTATGCAACAAAATTTTTTAAAAAATTAGCCTAAAGCCTAAATTAAGATTCTAAGTGTTCTAAGATGTGACTAACCCCCTACCCCACACTTATTTTATGCAATGCCCTCATTGCATATTATACCAACTAAAAATGCAAATAGAGAAAAAGTTGGAACAAACTCCCCTGGGGTAGCAGTCGCTAGGTTGACACTCTCTCCTTCAACTCCTTCTTCTAGTGACTTTAACCATGGGAACAGCTCATCCATGGCACGGGCGTCATACGTCTCGTGTGGTTGATAGCTCGAAAAACTCCAAGGAAAAGGGTTGTTGCACAATCTTCAGTAGTAATTCATAAAGAGTGTATGAATGGCACAGAAAAACTAGCCAGAACAAATCAGAAACTCCTCCTGCAGCAGGCTACTCCGCGAGTAGGTGAGCAAACTCGGCGAGTAGAACGCGATTGGCAAAGTAGGTCGTGCAAAAACAGATGTACTTGCCGAGTAGTGTTAGTGCACTCGGCGAGTAGAGCTTATATTTCCAGAATTCTATGAACCGCTGTCTCTCTTTAGGTTGGTGTTGACATGGAAATATAAATGTACTCTCCCGTGAACTTCCTAAGCAGCAACACTTCATAAAACTCTCGATTCGTACGGACTCAATCCTAGGAACAAGACTCCATAATCACTCATAAAGACTCTCATTCCTCTCTTGACCCTTCCTAATTAGCATGCTTCCTAGCTTCAATACCTGAAAAGAAAACTAAAAGTAACACTAATATTCCAACCACATAGCCAAATTCAACATGTCCACAATTGTCTTAAAACAAACATCATAACCAAACAAAACAAAATCAAATAAAATCTTCATTCTTCCTCTTTCATTCCAGTTCCACTACCTCCTTCTCCACCCCTTCTTCGCATCCTCTCGTCCCAATCCATAATATAAGGGTAGCCGGGTCCCGGTCGCGGGGCAATATGCATTTGTTGGAAAAGATACTCGAACGATTGATTGGTGTAATTAACCCCTCGCCCAATATCATCCAAGTAGTGTCGGTACTCCACTTGGTTCCATCCCTCGTTATCCTCCACCGGAATAACCGGTGGGTCTTCTCGTACCCGCTCGCTCCTTGGCCTAACCCGCCTTCCCGGCTCCTCGGGGACCGCCGACTCATCCTCATTCGGGATAGTAAAAGAGTCACCAAAATTTTCAACTATCCGAGCCCTCCTATAAAGTGCAGTGTTGAATGGAGGAGGGTGGATAATCGTTAGCGTTTGAGCTTGCGGCAATTCTAAGATCCCAAATGATCTCGCAAGCCAAGTAATGAACATGCCCCCATTGATCTTCGAGTTTATCTTCTCCTTGACCGCTCCCTCCGCAAGAAATTTAGCAATGCAGTACGGGAGGTTGCAGAAGACATCGGGAGTGATGATACTCCACAAGTAAAAGATATCAAGGGTGGGAACTCCTTCCGCATCCCCATCCTTCCGCATGTTGATCGTGCTTGCAACGAACCGGTGAATGAGTCGATGGATTGGAGAACGGATATGACCTTCTTGAGCAGTGGAAGGTATGTAGACCCGGTTAGCAATTGTACTCCACCATGTCGACGCCACCACCCCCTCGGGAAGTTCTTTGTAGGTATTCTCCAAGAAGGCTTCAAAGTATTCCGTCATCGACATGTCTTGATCGTAGATGCCCAACCGCCAAGAGAACTCAACCATGCTGCATTGTCGCAGCTCCCCACCCAAAGAAAACGAGATCGTGTTTGGATTGTAAAACTCACTACCACCTCGGAATGAAATGGTAGCAAAGAATTCCCAGCACAACTCCGCGTATACTGGCTCTTGGATTTTAAACAATTGCAACCAACCATCACAAGTGATGTTGGCATAACTCAAGTTACAATCTTTCACCAAATATGGAGTAAGTTCCTCTTCCAAGCCGACATTGCCCATCCATCCCCAATCCACTGCATTTGGTAAGTGGATTTCTTTCTGTCGCATCGCTTCCAACCTGTTTAGGGCTCGAGTCTTGGAGGATTTGGAGGTGATTTGTTGAAAGGCTAACCATGGCATATCACCATGGCCTCCTCCACGTGATGAATGACCTCTTCTTGCCATGCTATCTTCATAAACATACCAAAAACACAGCAACAAACAACACCCATAATTAAAACAGGAAAATTTTTGATCTTATTGGACCTACTCGCCGAGTACACGAACGTACTCGCCGAGTAGTATGAACTTCTTGACAGATCGAGATCGGATCTGTGTAATCTGTGTAATAGTCCAAATTGTTCATAGGGTTTTGTTGTAATTACTTATCTAACCATAGATCTTGAAGAAATTACTCCTAACAACATCTAATTCATGAGTAAATCAAAGCCCTAAAAATTGGGAAAAACTCCCCAAATCCGAAATCATAACAAATATGGGAAGATATGTGATAAAGATTGGACCTTTCATAAAATTAAAGGGTAAAGATGTTACCTTGTTGCTTGAATGAAGAGAAAGAAGAAGAAAATTGGAGAGATCTTGAAGAATACTTAGAGAGGCGGCTGAGAGGAAATGCTCGGCGAGTGTAGGGATGAATTGGTGAGTAATAACAATTTTTACAGGTTTTATTTTACTGGGTTTGAACCGGCTACTCGCCGAGTAGAATGGGTCTACTCGCCG